GACTTAGAGAGGAATCGGTTGAGGGCCGCCAAGCGACCCGTTAGCCGTTGAACTTCTTTGATGTTGCGTGGAGGCTCCATGTTGATGATGGCCTGAATCTTCTCGGGGTTGGCCTCAATACCCCTTCGGCTGACCATGTAGCCCAAGAACTTTCCTCCCTGCACGCCGAAGGTGCATTTCTTTGGATTTAGCCGGAGGTTGAACTTTTGCATGATGGCAAAAATCTCCCGGAGGTCGTCGGCGTGGGTGCCTGCCTTCTTGCTTTTGACGATCATGTCATCAACGTAAGCCTCCATAGTGCGTCCTAGGACAGCTTGGAAGACCCTAGCCACCATGCATGTGTAGGTGGCGCCTGAATTTTTGAGGCCGAAGGCCATCACAAGATAGCAGAAGATGCCTTCGGGTGTCATGAAGGCTGTTTTCTCAGCGTCTTCCTCATGCATGAAGATTTGATGATATCCGTGGAATGCGTCGAGGAATGACATGATTTCGCATCCCGCGGTCTCATCCACTAGTTGATCAATGTTTGGAAGAGGGAAGGAATCCATAGGGCATGCCTTATTCAGGTCCGTGTAATCCACGCACATGCGGAAAGTAGGAGGCTTTTGTGCGAGGACTACGTTTGCCAACCAAGAAGGGTATTTCACCTCCTTGATGTGTTTGATGGAGAGGAGCATGGATACCTCCTTCTTCACGAACTCCCTTCTCTCGGCCGAGAGGGGTCTTCTCCGTTGTTGTACTGGCTTGGCCGAAGGGTCCACCGCAAGGCGGTGGGTGACAACCCTTCGGTCAATTCCTGGCATATCCTCCGGCCCCCATGCAAAAACAATGGAGTAGGCGCGGAGAGCCTTGGTGATGCCAGCCTTCAGGTCTTCGGGGAGCTTGGCTCCGATCTTCAGGACTCTCTCCGGCTTGGCCGGATCGAGTATCAGGTCTTCAGTCTCCTCGGCAGGCTCAGCCCTCGGCCTACTTTCTTCTTCCTCCAAGGCCTTGGTGGTGATGGTGTCCACACGCAACTCTGTTTTACTAACCTTCTTGGTAAGTTGAAGGTAGCAGGCCCTGGAGAGCTTCTGATTCCCCCTCGAGTAACCGATACCGGTGGGTGTGGGGAACTTGAGGCAGAGGTGCCTCATGGAGATGATGGCTTCTAAGTCCTCGAGGGCAGGCCGGCCGAGGATGATGTTGTGCGCGCAGTCGAGGTTGACGACGACGAACTCCACTTCGAGCTTGGCTCTATGGGATCCGTCGCCGAATTCGACCATGAGTGTGATGACGCCCTCGGCGTCTATGCTGTCCCCCGTAAATCCGGAGAGGGGGGTGTTGATGTGCCGAAGGGACCCCCTGTCGAGTCCCAATTCTTGAAAAGTGCTGAGATACATGACGTTGACCGAACTCCCCGTGTCGACGTAAGTCCGGTGGATGATGGCGTCGTTGATCTCAGTGCGGATGACGAGGGCATCCCTATGCGGCAGAGAACCCGAGGGGAGGTCCGCATCTGTGAAGAAGATGGGATCCGCCCTCGGCCTCTTAGTCGGGGGCATGTGATTGACTTCCCCAATGTAAAGGGACTGCGCCCATTTCTTCCTTTGGCTTGTTGAATCGCCTCCGGTGTTCCCGCCGTTGATCATGTGAATGTGGCGCTTGTACTGTTGATGGGAGCCTTCCCCCTCATCTTCGAGGCTCCCAATTTCTCGCTTCTTCCCCTGTGGGTTCCCCAAGGGGATGGTGTTGGGGTTCACCCACTTGTTTGCCTTTGGTGGCGGCCCTTGATGGTGAAGGGGGCCCTGGGGAGGAGGGCCCCTGATAAATTGAGACAAGTGGCCCGCCTGTATCAGCCTCTCGATGGCGTTCTTCAGCTGATGGCAGTCGTCGGTCTTGTGTCCATGGTGGCGGTGGAAGTGGCAATAGGGCTCATCGGGGCCGATGGCATAAATTTCGAGGGGTGTCCGGGAGTCTCGCTCCACGAGCCCCCGTTCTTCCGCATGATCAAGAATGACGCTGACGGGATGCGTCAAGGGAGTACGTGGGTGCTCAAGGAGGACGGGTTGCGCCCATGCCTTCGGGTTGTTTTTGTAACCGCCCCCGGTTCTGGCTTGGCCACCTCGGGGGCGATCATTATACTGAGCCTCGCGGTTGGCCGGAGGAGGAGGTCCTCCGGGCCGATTCCTGCCTTCATTCTTCTGGGAAGGATCCGTGTTGCGGCGGTCCTTCTCGATCTCCTCCGCTTCGGCATATCGGTCCCCCCGCTGGAGGGCCTTTGTATAATCGCGGGGGGGATCAGTGATAAGGCTCCGGGAGAAGTTACCGTTGCGGAGGACGGTGTGGAAGAGGGCCATCAGTGTCCTGTCATCAGCGCCCTCGACCTCGAGGGAGGCCTGCCTCCAGCGTTCTAGGAAACTCCAAAGGGTTTCCTCCTTCTGCTGTCTGACGTTCAGGAGGTGGGAGAAGTGTTTCTTTGAGCGGTGCCTCCCGGCAAACTGCGTAAGGAAGCGGTGGGCAAGTTCTTGCCAAGAATCAATGCTGCCTTCGGGCAACCGGTTGAACCACTCATACGCGGGTCCCTCCAAGGTGGAAAGAAACCAACGGCATAAGTATTCATCCGATGCCCCCATCATCATCATGCTGTTTTGGTAACGGCTATAGTGCTCTTGGGGATCCGTCTTCCCCTCATACGGCTTGATGGGTTGCCCCCGGTATTTGTGGGGGATTTTGGCCGCCAGCACCCTTGGGGTGAAGGGCGTTCTAGTGCGGAGTTGAATGAGGGGCTCGCCTGAGCCTTCGGCGAGCTTACGCTTCATTTCCTCTACCTGCACCCGGAGGTCAGCGTACTCCGGATCTGGCCTAGCTGTGGAAGCCGTCGGCGGTGCCTGACGATTCTCCTCAAGTTGGCGGAGGAGGGCCTCGATAATTTCGTCCTTGGGATCCTTCGGGGCAACCCCTTGGGAGTTGGCCCGGAAGGATTGCGCCTGATTGATTTGGTGCCTGGCGTCATCGGCGTGGAGGAGGGCTTTGCCTTTGCTCCGGGGGGGAGGTACGCCCTCGGCACCCGAAGCGGAGGCACCACTCTCCTGTGGCCTGCTGAATTCTTGCTTCCCGAGGCGGTCTTGGACCCCTCGGCGTCCGGGAGCTCCCCCAAGCCTCTCAAGTGCAGAGGTCCGGGGTTTCTCCTTCATCAAGGGACGTTTATCCCTGGATTGGGCCTCTTGGGAGGCGGTGTCCTGTGCCATGACCCCTTCGGCGTTTCCAACCCCCGGGGGAGGATTGGTGAACAGAGGAGGGAGCGGCGGTAATTGAATAACATTCCCTCCAGCGTAGGGCTGAAGGGGCGCCTGAGAGGCGAGGGCTCCAGAATTGAGAGCCATGTCTTGAACAAAGGCCGCAAAGGCAGCCTGAAGATCGATGGCCGGGGCCGGAGGAGGAACTTGGTTCTCACTCCGATCCCTCCTTCGATTATCAAGGCCAATGCGGGCATCGGGGGTGTTCTTCTGCAGCTGCTGACGTAGGTCAGCGGTGGCTTGCTCTAATTCGAGGATGACACCACCCTCGGGTACTAGGAGCCTGTTGGAGGCCTCAGCCCCGTTAGTTTTGCCGGGGGCTACGTAGTTCTCCTCAAGGGTCTTGGATTGGGCACGGGTGGTTCTTCCCATTTTTGGTGAGGGTTTGTGTTTGGTAGAGGGGGAGGGTTTCTTACTTGATAGTTCAGACCTCTCAACGAGAGCACCAAATGATGGATAGTCTACCCGGGGGGTATCTCGTCCGAAGGGTTATTGCGGAAATAACTAGAGAGAAGTCAGAGCAAATAGGAGGAGAGAGAGTCGATTTTATTAAATGAACTCAGCGTGGAGTTGAGATGTAGATTGTGTCGTTTACAAGGAGAAATGGGCTGCTATTTATAGCAGCAATAAATGCGATGAGAGGACACGTGTCAGTAATCCAACGGCCGAAGGGTCACATCAGCCGGTTGGCACCGGCAGCGGTACGTCCACCGCATTGAATGCGGTTGGCGGATGTGACGTGGTATTAAATGCGGTGGTTGGCTGTCTCTAAAAGGAATCTTCGATGATTGAGCTAGCTCAGCCGAAGGCTCCCGGTGTAGCCGAAGGCTCCTGATGTAGCCGAGGGCTCCTTGTGTAGCCGAGGGCTCCATGTGGTGAGGACCTTTGTACGGCCGAAGGCCCCGTGTGACCGAAGGCGTAGCAATGCCGAGGGCGTAACAATGCCGAAGGCGTAACAATGCCGAAGGCTCATGTCTTCGCCCGTTTTCTCCCAGTAGCTTCCTATGCCGAAAAGGCTATTCTGTGGGTTCTGGAGCCTTCGGCCAAGGAGGCCGAAGGCACCCCAGTGTGTATTCTGGGCCACTTTGAGGCTTGGGCCGTCGTATTTGGGCCTGAGTTGTTTCCTGAGCTCAATGGACCAGTGTAGGAGAAACAGGAGTCTATGGGCCGGGGGTTCGTGGGCCATATACTCCATCACAAACATTCAAAAAAGTTCCAAAAATCAGCAACATAACCACTGTTAAGTTCCCAAATCATAATTTCAAAGGTCCAAAATAACAACATAGTAAACCTTCAAAAAGTCCTAAATGACAACATCAAAATGACAACATAGTTTACCTTCAACATAATTTACTAGCATAATAATTTTAGTAAACATTATAGTTTTAATTTTACTAGAATATAATTATCAATTAGTAATAGTTGTAGTAGTCTTATTGTTTCCTACTCCCAAAAGGTTTTCTATTCCTACACATTTAGGAAATTAGTTAAACTAGTGAAACTAGCAAAAAATTTAACTTCACCACAAGACATAAATTAATTGTAAATTACTAAACACTACATATAACGGGCCGAGGCGGGTACCCGACCCTACCCGGACCGTTTTTAGCAACAAAAATTGGAACCGGCCCGTTTTGGACCCAAACCGCCATTACCCGGTCCGGACCGTGGTTCTAAGACCCGTTTGCCCACCCTAATGCAAATGGCCAGTTGGAGATTCCAAGATTATCCAAACAAAATACTCCATATTGCGGTTGAATAAAAATAAGATACCTTAAAAGCCTAAATGGGTCAATTGAATAATAATAATTGATCAATTCCTCCGTGCAGAGTCTATATAAAAGTTCTTGGTCCGAATTGAACAACCATAGAAATTAAATGGAGATGATAAGCTTACCAAGAGCTCTCTTGCTCATAGGGGCCATATCCGTGCTACTGTTACAGGTTGGTGGTTTCTGCTCTCTACTTCCATGGCTATAGTCTCATACTTTCTGCTGATATATGATGATTCTCTGTACTAAGCTCATCGATCACTATTTGGTAGCTTCAGTTGGATGTTCCGTTTCCGTTTTGTACACACACACAGTATCTTTATTGGTTATAATTCCTTTCCTTTTTGAAATTCATCCGTGATTTGATTGTGTTTTGTGAGTATGAGCCTTTTCAAACAAAGCAGGTTAAACAAATGAATACGAAATATATTCATTACCGTATAGTCATGTTTACCAGATGCATAAAGTTTATGATAACAGGTTAATTCCTTAAATTACGCATAACTGGCCAAAGATTATAATTTTTTAAGTAGCTGCCCTAAATAGTAGTGAAAAGTGAAAACAACTTCCTTACCATTAAATAGGATTAAAAATGGCCACTGATTCAGCTCTACACAGTCAAGTTAAGACAGCTAAGAAGGCGCCAAAAAGTTGTGATAGAAGTAATTCAAGTAATTGAATGTTAGTTGTGTTAGTTAGAAGCTGTTATACCAAGTAGATTTTTTGTGATTTGTATATAAACCTCTTTGTAATCAATTCATCTATAGATAATACTCAACTCCTTTCCATCTCTCTCTCTTCTTATTCTATCAGTTCTACATGTTTCTGATATTTCCCAACTTGTAAAAGACAGTAGAGCATTAAGTCCTGCATTATTGGTATCATAGTCACCAACTTTTCTGCCAGTGAAGAGCAATTCAAAGCTCTGCAACAGACTTTACAACAACATATGTGTATCCAAACAAAGGAAGCTGAACTGGAGAGTTAATTGCTATTCAATATAGGAAACTAGCAAAACAAGCTTCTATTATTCAGAATATGATGATACACCATCAAGCAGACCATTAGAGCACATTCCTAGACTAGGATTTCCTGGATATAAGCAAGTATTTAGAAGCCACCCAATTTTGTGCTCTTCAATTAATTCCGACTGAAATTGGGGAGGAACCTACTGGTCTAGACATAACTTGTCAGACAACAAGTATAAAATTTATTGATAATGCTCACAATTGCAACAACGTCTTCGGAAGTATGAATCCGTTTTTGAGGATCTCAAAACTCTTCCTTCTTCTAAAGGGATATTTAATCATAAGATCCCACTTGAAACTGGTGCAGGACCTGTTAGCATAGGACCCTGTAGATATCCTTTGAATAAAAGGTATATTATTGAGAAACTGATCCAGGAAATGCTTGAGAATGACATAATTCAAAATAGCTCCAAGCCTTTTGCATCGCCAGCGGTCTTGATTGGTAAGAAAGATGGGTCATGGAAGAACTGTGAAAGATAATTCAGGTGCCAATTCATCAATTAGGTCATCTATAACAGGGATAGGGAATTTATCTTGTCCCTTGCATTAGCCATCCTAAAAAATTCTGCCATATTATGACATTAATACTTCTATATTAGTGATAGATAACACACGGTAGACCACACAGCGTTATGATTTCTATATGACAGCATTTTTTAAAAATATTTTACTTCTATTTAGGGAAAACAACTCGTTATCACTTGGGATATTTCCCTAGTTTCTTTTACCCCAATAGTTCAAAGTAGAGTTTACAAAAGGAGAAATATACTTCTTTCACTTGGTTGGCCTGATGTGCAATAAAGCAGTTTCTTTGGACTTTTAAACTGAATTTATACAGCATCCTCACTTTGATTTTATGTGCCATTCATGAGTGTTCTGTCAGGTTGTAGCAGTGAAGACTGTAACACAGACTGAAGTAGATCGCAAGATCCTTCAGGTATGTGTTTGTATGAAAGGAAACATTCAAAATTATATCTTATTTAGACCATAATCATTTGAGAACTTAGTGAATTGTATGAAAAATGTTATGCAGGATAATATCGTTAAAACGGTCAATGAAAATACAAAAGCAGGATGGAAAGCTGACATGAATCCTTGGCTCTCAAACTTTACTGTTAGTTGATATATATAATTATATTGCTGCAATATGTATACTGATTTTCGGCCAAACTAATTTATCATGCATGTTTATATGTTCATCGGGTTTACAGGTAAGCCAATTTAAGCACCTTCTTGGTGCTAAGAAGGCACCAAAGACTTTATTGAATGGCATTCCTGTTATGACTCATACAAAAGATAAAAAATTGCCCAAAAGTTTTGATGCACGGACAGCTTGGCCTCAATGTATCACCATTGGACAAATTCTTGGTATGTCTTATAACTTTTTCTGCTTTGACCTATTGATTGTTTTCTTGTTAGAAATTCACTAATTATTATTTTTCTTATTATGTCATTCACATGAACTTTTCAACAATTTAGACCAGGTATTTAATTTTTCCTATTAATAGTTTGTAAATGGTTAATGAAATGTTTATATCATCAAATTGACCCTTTGTATTGCTTACTTCTCAGGGGCATTGTGGTTCATGTTGGGCCTTCGGTGCAGTTGAGTCATTAACCGACCGTTTCTGCATTAAATTTGGGACGGTAATTTCATTTCAGTCCTCAACAGCTTTACTGTTTCGCATTCAGGGTCTACTTGGAACCTAGAAAGTACTGGAGTGCTAAAACACGAAGGAAAACATCGGGGAGAGAAAGGAAATAGGAGAAACTAAAAGATTGGCTAAAACTCAACAAATTTGTTTTTAGATATTTGTTGGTATTTATTTTACTTGATCATGTATTTTTTAGAAAGACTAAGAAATATAAATAAATGTTAAATACTCCATAAAAACAAAAAAGCTAATCATTTTTTCATTTTCCTTTCTATCCTTCCATGGTAAAACCAAACATAACAACATTGCTTTCCTTAACATTACTTTTCTCTTCCCGAGCAAAGTCTGTGGATATTGACTTTGAAAATATAAATGTTTATGACACAGAATGTCACTCTATCTGTCAATGACCTCTTAGCGTGCTGTGGTTCTTTGTGTGGTGATGGATGTGATGGTGGTTATACTATATCAGCATGGCAATACTTGGTGCGAAGTGGTGTTGTTACTTCAGCGGTAAATGTTTAGGGCTCTCTACTTTTTCGGTAGCTCACTGTTATCCTTGCCACTCTTTTTTATCAATGAGTAATATTTAAACTTGAATGAATATTGCTTTTGCAGTGTGACCCTTACTTTGACCAAACTGGATGTTCTCACCCTGGTTGCGAACCAGCATATCCCACTCCCAAATGCCAGAAGGAATGTGTGAAGGGGAATCTGCTTTGGTCGGAGTCCAAACATTTCAGTGTTAATGCATACACAGTTAGTCCTGATCCATACAGTATCATGGCTGAAATTTACAGTAATGGACCTGTCGAGGTCTCCTTTAATGTCTATGAGGTAAATGCAAATAAAGGAATTTGAATTTAGTTTACCTACTAGTATGGCCATATCTAGTACTCTCAACCAAAACACAATTTTCACAATTTTACCTTTTCAATCACTTCATTAATATAGTTGTGCCAAACCAAAACAAGACACATACAATGGGACTGAAGTAGTATTTTTCTAGTCATACCGCTTCTTTATTTATTAATTCGTTTATATTATTAAGTAGGTCAGCTGTCTCTTTTTCAATATAAGCCTTCAGTGCTTTTTTAAATGTATAAAGTTTACTCCCTCGATCAAATCACATAGTTTACAATGCATTAAATGGATAAATTATTCAAACTTTTTTATATTTACCTAAAATCCCCTCATTTAATTCGGTGTAGCTACTAATTACTCTGATATTTTTTAATGATTCCCCTTCATACACAAGGGAAATATTGGGAAAATATTCAATATTGTAATATTCATAGATTTTATAAAAAGATAGATACAAAGGGATGAACAAAGTTGGTCAATGAAACCGATAAGTAGGAATGAGTATTTAGTGATACTTATATAAGTATTATGTTTAGATAACTTCAGTCAAATCCTATTAAACAAGGCCTGAAAGATTGTGATCCAATCAGCCCTCTTCATTATTCCTCATCTTACTGCTTAATGTTGACTGTTCGCAGGACTTTGCACATTACAAATCCGGAGTCTACAAACATGTCACAGGCGAATACATGGGAGGGCATGCTGTTAAGCTCATAGGATGGGGAACTTCTGATGATGGAGAAGACTATTGGGTATATAGATTTTTTAGACATTCATATTTTGGCTTTCATTTACTACTGATTCTGACCCCTCGCTGAATTTGCTCTTCTTAAACAGCTCCTTGCCAATCAGTGGAATAGAAGTTGGGGTGATGTATGTTCATCCTCTTTCTCTTACTCTCCTAAATATAATTTTACTATGAGGCTACTTCTCTTTATGACTTGATGTAGTGAGAAATGATAGAAGGCCCACATTAGTTAGTAGTTACCACATGGTATGGGTTGCACAGTCCATGTGAAGTTATCTCTTTATCCCGACATCAGAGCATCTTAGAACGGTTCTCTAAATTTTTATTTTCTTTCAATGAAAGAAACATTATCTTTGCGTGTGTTCAATGGTCTCTTTAAGGTAAAGAGTTAAACTAGAATGTGAGATTTGTCTCTCCATATGTGGATTGTCCAAGACCCCTCTATAAACCGTTCAACATGTTTTTATAGAAATATGGAAATATGAGATCAAGGGTTTCAGACTAAGTCGGAGCAAGACAGAGTACATGGAGTGCAAGTTTGGTGGAGGTAGAAGCAGTAGTAATAGCGGAATTACTCTAGATGGTAAAGAGATACCGGTTAGCGATATGTTCCGTTACTTGGTCTCCATTGCGTAGAAGACCGAGTGATGCACCTGTTAGACGAGTTGAGATGTGTGGAGAAGAGGCAAGGAAGAGAGGGAGAGGAAGGCCCAAAGAGACGTGGATTAGGGGAGTCCGAAGTGATATGCTTCTTCTTGGGTTTGATGAGGGTATGGCTTTGGAGAGAGCAAAGTGGAGGGCAGGTATTCGTGTGGAGGAGTGATCTCGTGTTATCTTTTCCCCTAATTTTTTGTGTTTATTTTTTTAATCCTTTTATCCTTATATATAAACATTATTTTTATCCTATTTATTTTATCTTTTTTTAGGTATATTCATCTCTTTTTATATTATCTTTTTCATAATAGTTTATCTTTTTTTTATCTTTATTTTCTTTCTTTTCCTTTTGGTGGTGATATCATGTATCGATTCATGTTAGTCGACCCCAATATCTATTGGGACTAAGGCTTGGATGTTGTTGTTGTATGGAAATATGAGATCAACTAATTTTCCTTGGAACATTGAATGAACATCAATGATAAAGAACTATTCAAATAGCAGTGTTGGAACTTAAAACTGTTCACTATTTATTTGAAAAAGGTGCATCAGAATGCTCTTTAATTTATAGGTTATGCATTCTAAAGTAAAGTGCCTTTGGAGATGCTCTTTTGGGAGCATATGGTTTGAGTAATCTGATAATAACTTGGAGTGTTCGAAAGGTGATGTTAGATTACTTGTTAGGTTGGTGTTTTAAAATATTCACTGGAAGTGTGGGCTAATGTGGGATTTATCTGGTTTGGTTTGGGTATTCATATTATCGGGATAAACTTCGATTATTGACTTATTGTTACACGTAGGAAAATGAGACAATATTGGGGGTAATCCAATTACCATGGGATATTGTAAGATTATTTTTCGTATTGATCCACTCTTGCCCGTAGATAAGGTATTCTTGTGTACTACTAGTATTTGCTTTGTGATATGTTGCTATTATGTTTGCTACTACCCCAACAAAAAATGTCAGGCTATCTTGCATCGGTGTGATCTCATATTACCTTTCACATTATATTCACATTATCTTTCAGAGAGTAATCACATTACTTAAAGTAGATTTATGAACCAAATGTGCCCCGATAGAGTATATGTTACCACGTATTATGTTTTTTTATAGGACATAATGATACTATTATAGTGGTCTGTAAACCATGTGGTATCTGGTGGTGTCTTTCTAGCAATGCTATGGTTTTTTTCTAGCATCATTCTGTTGTACTAAACACCCTCATGAAGGCAACATCATAAGTTCATCTGTCTTACTATGTTTTCTTTCTTCATTTTGTTTTCCATCTTCACCTTGGCAGGATGGGTATTTCAAGATCATCCGAGGAACAAATGAGTGTGGGATCGAAGAAGATGTAACTGCGGGATTGCCTTCTTCCAAGAACTTGGGGATAAAATCCATTCCTGGAGATGCTTCTTTTGTTGCCTCAGTTTAATGAAGGGTGATCCTCCCCAAAACTCCCCCATAACACCATGCTGCCTTGTTATATAACACAACCCGCCCCTTCCAACTTTTGCGAAATGGTCTCAGATGTGCTGGCTATATTTCTGGCAGAAGTAAAAAATGTTGTGACAATTTCCCTTTCGTTTTTGTGATACTTAATATACTCTAAAAATGTCAATTTCTGTAAACATGGTCTGGATATACTTCTGATGGATGTATACTTGTACTTTATGTACTTCTACCAGGCTACCAAATAAAGTGACAAGTCTAAAATAAAGTCTTCTCATACCCGGGACAGACACTGGACCCAGCAATTTCTGATTCAATACTATCGTATATACTTGGTATAATGTTGCAGGAAATACTTGGTATATACTTGGTAAATCTCGATGTGAAAAATGACGAAGCGGTCTAGCCTTAGTAAGTGCTTAATACTAGGCATACATGATATATCCAATAATAATATCAAAAAGTCTATCTCAGTGAGTACATAAATTAATAATGGAAGAAATGGTTCTGGCAACATTTAATGCATGATTAAGTTTTATTTCGTGAAAAGTTTGGAACAATTTTAACATAAACAAAGTACCCTTATCTTCTTGTATTAGTGCCCCTACCTTAATATCATATGCGTAGTATATGTGTGGTATGCATAGGAGTATGTAACTATGAATACTTAACTAGAAAAAATTGATCACAATAATTTCATTAAGTACCCTTGTCTTCTTTTTCTTCTTTTTCTGATGTGATTTTTTTTCTTTATCTGGTCCTACAGATAGAGAGTACTAGCGTAAGTGCTAATACCCTAATGTCATATTCGTATTCAGCCAATTATCAGCTTAAAGCTCGTGCCCAGCACAACCTATGTATGGGGCTTGGGCTTTTCAGCACGTTTAGTTCAGGTTGCAAAAACTGAAAAAGGATAGGTTATTTTTGAATTTTACCCTTCTATCAGTGGCGATAAAGCACAAATCATTTAACACAATTTTATACGTAGTACATAGAAAAACTCCCATCCATATTTATCCCTTATTGTTACTAAATTAACACAAACATTTCTTACTTGGAGTACAAAAGTGCATATAGGAAGGATTTATTCATCACAACTCTATTACTGAGGACCTAAAGACCGCGGCTGGTCAGGACTCCCAGTAACCAGCTCTTTTGTAGTCTGCCCGATTTCGACTATAGTTTCGCCAATCGCTTGGAGAACCCCTCCGCCGCCTCCGCTTCCTTTTCCTCCGTCATGCTCCTCCTTTTCCCTCTCCACCGGTTCCAATCGCCTGGTGCCGTTTTCTCCCGCACTTCCTCTTTCTCGCTTAGTTTCGCTGCCACTGAAAATGCGTCCCCCTCCGCTTTCTCCCTTGTATAGAAATATAGAAAGGAAACCAATGTCATATGCATCTTTAAGAGGATAAAGGTTCATTCGCACCAAAATCTTTTGGACTAAAGTTTTCTGGACTGAAGTTTGGATGTTATTCAAACTTTTGGACTAATGCATGGGTGTATTTTTAAAGTTTAGGAAAACAATCATTTCAAACAATCCATACAAAATAAAAATACAATGTTGAGTTAAATGTGCAACTTACCACTCGTATTATGAAGTAATTATGCTACCAAACAGCCTATATTAATTTTTAATTAACTTTCAAACATTAGTTACTTGTAGGTACTGTACTTGTTTAAATATTAATTAGAAACTTCAAACTTTATCATTATCATCTAACCTTAAACAAATTATTTTGCACATTATTAAGATCATTAATACTTCATCCGTTCTTAAATAAGTGCAACGGTCAACATTTCACACTTGTCGAGACACAACTTTGACCATTAATATATACTCCGTATAATTCTTTATTAGTAAAAACAAATTAAAAAATAGATTTTGAAAATTTAAAATGAGACAAATTTAACAATATTTTTTTCAAGAAAATATATTAATACATTATTTAATTAAACGTAGTCAAAATAAATAGTGTAAAATTCAACATGTTGCACTTATTAAAGAACGGAGGTAGTACTTGATCTTTAGCACTAAAGAACGGAGTACTAGTATAACAAGAGTATTTATTTAGGAAGTAATTTAAAAGGTTTTATTCAATTGCGAAGTTCTATACTTCTATACCTTTGAATCTGTTGATTTTTTATCTGGTTTTGCTTGCTCCCTCTGGGCTGCTTTTGCCTGTGCTTCTCTCTGGGCTTCTGCTTTCTTCCTAGCTGCATACTGGGCTGCACTTTCTTCAGCAGACACTACATAATCCTTCGCAGCTGCCAATTTATCACCGGCATACTCCGCCGCACTCTTTCCGGCCCCTGCCACCACGTCCTTGGCGGCTACAGCCGTTTGACCTGCATATCCGGCCACGGTCACCGCCACTCCGGCAGCAAGGTTTGTGGCATCTGCAGCCCTTTCAGCAGTGAATCGCGCAGCCTCCCAACCCACCACCGTCGCCTTGTCCTTCACGGTATCGGCCACTTTCCCAGCATACTGCGCCGCCCCTTTCCCGCTTTCCACTGTGGTGTCCTTCACCGCCGCCGCTTTCTGCCCTGTAAAGCTTGCAGCATTCTTGCCCATTTCCGCCCCACGATCTTTCGCCTGCACGGTGTAATCCTTCGCGACTTCTCCGGCCTTTGTGAGTGTCTCTTTAGCCTGCTCTGTTCTGGGAACGGTGTACTCTTTGGTCATCTCGAAGGCTTCTTGACCCTTCTGAAGAGCGGTGTTTTTAGCCTTTCCGGCCATTTCTCCGGCGGATCCGACAACATGGGTTGCCGATTCCTTGGCCTTCTCGTACTTCTCCTGAGCTGTTCGAAGAGCATCTATGGAGTTCTGTTGAGCCGTTTGTCTGGACTTCCCTATCTCCTCCAGACTTCCCCTGTTTTTGTTGGTCTCTCCTCCTTGACCGACGTAAAACTTCACCCCACCCGGCTTCTCTTCAAACGGCTGATGATGAGAAGCAGAGAATTGCTGATTATCTTCCTCCGTTATGTTCTGCCCACCACTTGAGAATTCCAGCCCTCCAACTTTGATCGGCTGAGCGGCGGTGTGAGCTTCTCCGGCTTTGTGCTGTGCAGGGCCATGGCGAGCTTCCCTTTCTTTTCCGGCGTATTTTCCGGCGTCGTCATGTTGAGAAGTAACGACCGTTTCCGTTACGTTGAAAGCAGCGCCGGGATGGATATCGTGAGCGGTTTCGGAGGATTTATCGGCGAGGGACTCGAAATGGCTGGCCATTTTGGGAACTCTGTCTTTGTCGACATGGATGGATCTTTCGTCAGTCTGGTTCTCTCTTCTTTTTTGCTCAGAAGTCATTATGTTGAACAAATGATAAAACAGAGTTTCTTTTTTCTTCTTCTGGAATGTAATTGAATTGATTGAATATAGGAGAGATAGTAGGCGATGATGAAGGTGAAGGTATTATAAGGGGTGTAAATCCGGTAACAATGGCGGTGGAAGGAGGAAATATGACATGTGGATAGAGAACTTAGCATTGAAACGCAACGTGGTGGAAGGGGAGAATTTTGGAGCGCATGAGTAATCCATAGATTGGGGCGGGTGTTGACACGTGTCGCCTTATGTGGCAATGAATGCTGCTACGGTTCAAATTTTTACATGACCATACATTCAATTATTTTCAAATAGGCCCTCGAACTTACATAAGAGGTCAAATAAGTCCTTATATAGAATAATAGGAGGCTCTGTCCGGCCGTCTCCATTCGGGGCAATTCCCGGTGAAATTTTTTGTTCAATTTTTTTTAGCATCTTATTCATTAAGTCTAGTTTACTTATACCAAATTTGAACTAACAATGCAATCGAGAAGGCATTCAAATGAATGTCTTCCCGATTGAAGTTTTAGCTGAAATTTGGTATGAGTAAACTAGACTTAATTAATAAGATGCTCAAAAAGTTTCATCAAAAAATTCGACCGGGAACCGTCCCAAATGGCAAATCGGACTTATTTGATCTTTTTATATAAGTTCCAGGGCTTATCTGACCCTTCCCAAATATATTTGTAGTTGTTCTGGAGTAATTTCTACTTGTTCGAGACTTCGTGGGTAATTTCTACTTATTTCGAGGCTTTTATAGACTTTTAAAGGGGTGTTTAGATGTGATTCTTAAAACTACTTGGAGCAGAAGCAGAAGTTAGAGTGTTTGGGTGAAAGCGTAAAAGTACTTCTAGTTCTCTCATTTACTCTTAGCAACAGTTTTTTTAGAAGTTGAGGGAGACCAGCTACTGAAAACTGATTCTGATTCTACTTTTGTTTTAAAAAAGAAGCAGAATCAGAATATGTTCCATGCACCCCCTAAAAGTCTACATTGAATATACCTAAATTTTTGTAGACTTTTAAAATTCCAAATTGAATACACCTAAAACTTTGAAATCCATGGATTTTTACAATTTTGCCACTAATTCCTAATACAATACATCTCCCTTAGTTTCCTTTTAGTTTTCTGAAAAGCGAAAAAATGAATCTCATAGAAAATGGATCAAATAAGTCCTATTATTTTTAATTTTTCATTTAAGCCCTTGTACTAAAAAATTATCATATAAGTACGCATAATTTACAAAATTGATAAATTTGACCATTTAATTAGTTTTTAATCTCTAATAGGAGGTTTTTAATATTCAAAAAGTTTTTAAAAAAATTAAAATTTGAAGACTTATATACAAAAATTGTAAAAATTTGCAGAATATCAAAGTTAAGATTTTTATTTTTTAAAAATATTTTATACTCCGTATTATACATCTATTTAAAAGGTTATTAAATTTTTTGTTTTTTTATTTTATTTTTTTTCACTTTATTTTTTCAGTTTTATGATTTTTTTATGTTTTAATTTTTTTATCCATTTTTACACTTATACTAATTTTTATATTATTAGATAATTTACTCAAATTTATATGAATTCTTGTAAGATTTTCAGTATTTCTAATCTAATTTAAAATAAAAATAACCTGCTATAGCATGCCAAATAACTTGATTGATTTTTAGTATATAGGCTTAAGTGACGGAATAGAAATAGTAAAAGGACTTATTCAAGTCTTTTTCCCTCATTATATATTAAAGTGTTAAGGTTCTTAAGGATGAAATAACATTAACTTTATCCAATTACATAGAGAGATTTTAGTTAAATAGAAGTAAACAAAAGAAAATTTAAGGATAAAGTTTAAAGTCATAAAATAGGACTAACTCTACACATCTTACCTTTTCCGTTGTCGTGCTATATAGATTTTTAAAATAATACTCCCTCCATCCCATTAACAATGGGACAAGAGAGAGTGATACCCAAACTAATAAAAAATGGTTTATGTTATTGATATTGAACTGATAAAGTAAGAATAAAGTAAGAATGATTTACAACCACACAAACTTTGCCAAATTTGGTATGGGACAATCTTAGTGGGACGGACCGAAATGGTAAAACAAGACAATCTTAGCGGGACGGAGGTAGTAATAAAATATAAAAAAAGGTAAAAAAGTAAATAAAATTGTATATGAACTACCTTCCAGCACCACCACCTC